CGAAGCTCCAGGCTCTGCCGAGCGTGCACTTTTAAAGCGGATAAAAGTGGGCTCTCTCTCTCTCTCTCTCTCTCCCGTCGCCGAGTGAAGCCGACATTTCTGCAGCTCCCTAAATAAAACGTGATTGGTATCCAAATGTTTTTTACTGCTAAACGGTGCTGATATGTATCGTAAGATGCTGTTTGACACTCTCCCTGGTGCCGTGTATTTCAAGTCAGCGGTCGAGAAGCAGCTCTGGCTTTGGGAGAAAATGAGGGCAATCTTTTCTGTCCCAATCGCCCCCTCTGGGTCCAAGGTAATGATTAAACCCATAAAGCGTCTTCATTCTCAGGGATGAGTGACATGGACCCAAAGGACTGGTGAGTAGGTAAGTAAAAAGTTGCAAGTTATGTGTGCAGCAGCGACACATAAAAGTGATGCGCAAGTCTCTCTCTTGGCTGTGCTGTACAAAATAGCTCAATTGATGACAGTACTACAATATGGCGAGGCTCATCGAGACTGTTTTTTTTAAGAGACTTTGTGGAGGGGGGAACACAATATGACTCATTTAAGTTAAAAAGGATATTTATGTAATTGTTTTGTTGCAATCATGAAAGTTTTGTATTAATTTTTTTTTTTTAAATTATACAGTGCTGAACTTATTTTTACACTTACGACCATTACAAATGTTACACGCTATTTAAATCCTCGCCTGTAGAGTGAATAAATGTTCCCGTACGTAACTATTTTGAAGACATATATGGTCGCATAAAATCCGAAAATTCAGATTTGGGCCACGGGTTGATCATCTCCTCTGTCGCGCCCATTTTCAGCCTACGTCCCTTCTTGTGAATTAGAATTTAGCAACACATCGGCACAGTTGCCATACATCAAGTGCGACAGTGGATATGAACCCGCAAGTCCAAATCCCGCATGGTGCCATCATGGCCTTGAGCGGGACATTGAAGACCGATTGACCATAAATCTCCCGCTCAACGTAAATGGCCGTTATGTCAGTTGCAGCGTGACTACAACCGAGCTCGATTTCAGGCATCGGACACAACATAGAGGAAGAAGTGGAGATAAAATGTGAAAGGATGCTGTTGTTGGGCAGAACACCTTTTGTCACTTCGCTCTGGTTTCCTATGTTCATGTGACGACCGGGCTGGACTAGCCATCAGGCGTGGCGGGCAAATGCCCGGTGGGCCACCATCTTTGTTGGCCTTTGAGGTGCTATTTAATTATTATTTGTACTATTTTTAAATATTAAATGTTTAAATCTTATAATCAGTGTCTATTATTTGTCCTCCAGTGTTCCTTAGCCAAACTAGGCGTGGCGGGCAAATGCCCGGTGGGCCGCCATCTTTGTTGGCCTTTGGGGTGCTATTTAATTATTATTTGTAGTATTTTTAAGTAACGAATTTTTAAATCTTTTAATAAATGTCTATTATTTGTCCTCCAGTGTTTACAGGTAGTCGCCTTTATAAAATAAGACCCCGATCACTTCCATTCAAGTCTGCAGATGGCCCAAACCGGAAAGGTATGAATGCGATAAGTACACAGAGGAGCGCCTTTTTTATTTTATTTTATTTTATTTTATTATTTTAAGTGGCTGCAGGTGTTAACCATAATGACATTGTCACGCACTTCACTAAGTCGCAGGCGACACTTTCACACTCTATCAGCCAAACGTTAAACTTCTCATTAAAAACCAAAAAAAGCAAGAGCAAATTTGACGGGGGTGACCCTCCTGTCGATTAGTCGGTCATCAGAGTTTGTCGACAAACGTCAGAAGACGTATAGAGAAGTAATGAACTTCATAATCGCTCCCCCGCTCATATGCCCTCCTCCTTTTTCTCATCGCTGTCGCGGTTTTTAATTGATGCTCTTAATCTTAATAGCGATTCTGATCCTCACATCCTGGCTGGCATCTGTCGTCTTAATCATCCCATTCGCCCAAACCGGAAAGGTATGAATGCGATAAGTACACAGAGGAGCACCTTTTTTATTTTATTTATTTATTTTTTTTAGGTGGCTGCAGGTGTTAACCATAATGACATTGTGACGCACTTCACTAAGTCGCAAGCGACACTTTCACACTCTCTCGGCCAAACGTTAAACGTCTCATTAAAAAACAAAAAAAAAGCAAGAGCAAATTTGACGGGGGTGACCCTCCTGTCGATTAGTCGGTCATCAGAGTTTGTCGACAAACGTCAGAAGACGTATAGAGAAGTAATGAACTTCATAATCGCTCCCCCGCTCATATGCCCTCCTCCTTTTTCTCATCGCTGTCGCGGTTTTTAATTGATGCTCTTAATCTTAATAGCGATTCTGATCCTCACATCCTGGCTGGCATCTGTCGTCTTAATCATCCCATTCCTTGAACGCCTTAAAGAGAAGGCCTGAAGCTCAAGAAAAGTTCGGTGCATAACAAGTGAAAGTAATTACTTCAACTTGAACATCATGGGGCTTTTTTTTTTTCTTCTTTCATCTGAGCAACCTCCATTTGTTCTCCCAATAACAGCGTAGGTATCTGACCAGGCGACTTTGGAGATCAGGCACGACGAGAGCATCTGACAGATGAAGTTAGAATATGCATTTGCATTGGGGCCAAGTGGGGCAGTGACAGCCATTCAGCATTCTGGGCCGTTCTCCTGTAGGATTGGAGTGAAACAATACATCTCGTTGTTTTTTTTTTCCCCACATTTAATGCAGAGGTGACCGCTTGACGGGACGTGATTTATTCGGCTCGATTGACGTTATTTGAATTTTTCCCATCAGCGTGTTTCAAAAGACTAATGAACAGACGTCTCGGAAGTGATGAAGTGCTTGAAAAAGTGCTTTGGAGCGGAACGCGCTACTCTCGGTAAGCCTGGGTCAACGGGTTCTTTCTTGTCCATGGACTGACTGCTACTTTTGTCCACAAAGAACTTCCGTAAGGAATCAATCGAGCAAGCTGTTAACTGTCGTGTGTGATTCAAACCAAATTGAAGGAGGTTGGGAGGGGGCTAAAGAGGAGCTGACTCTGGAATTATTGTATGTAGGGTGGCGGGATGTTTCATCTTTAATAGCATTTTGCAGCCAGGGGAACAATGGTAGGCCTCAGCTCTAAGATACAAAGGCTTAATTTATAACCCCGAATAAAACTTAACTTTCCGGTGGCCCTCTGCAATATCGGAATGGCTTTTCGGGTCATTAACTTTAGATAGACGACACTAACTAGACATGGTGGGATGTGACTACAGGAACCCCGCCGCCACTTAGTGTGGGAGTTCATCATAAACATCATGCAGGGCATTTTGGCACATGAAATTTCTATTGCAGGTACTTTTTTCTGTAGGCAGTTGTCACAAACACCTTCATCTATCCATTTCACGATTGCACTTGTACCCGTTAGGCCGGGTCACGGTTGAGCAGATGCCCGTCGTAAGCTCACTTTAGGGTGAGCAGAGGCGTACACCCAAGACTGGTTGGCAGCCAATCGTAGGGCACATTTTGACAAAACGATTGCTCACACTCGCGTACGCAACTATGGACCATATTAAGTCATTCACCTCGAGCAAATAAGGTGTGACAGAAACGTTCCAGGGCCAAAGATACAAACCCCAAATGCAATGGAGTCGTGACCTTATATAAAATGTAAAAAATAAAAAAAAACAGATAACGATGCTTTGCAAATCCTTTTCAAACTATATAATTCAATGAATGAATGTTATTTATTGATGTTGTTTGGACGCATTTATCCATGTTTATTTACCTTATGGCATCAAGGAATTGGTTGATTTATTTATTGTAATAATAAAAACTTGAGCACCCCCCCCAAAAAAAAATTCTTTCCTCACTCCTATTCTACAGTGTAACTCAAACCACGAACCAAACCATATTAGTTTTGGCCACAAATTGTATGTGACAGCACCAATTTTCAATTCAACGTACAAGCTGCCTTACAAAATAAGATCTAGAATACATCTATAATAGTATGGCTTCAAGAAGCATTTTGGGATGGACGGAAGGACGGATGGATGGACCAGACAGACCGACAGACAGTTTCCACGCACGCAAAGAGGAAAGTGAGGTGGGCGGCGGTGTCACAGGCTGTGCTGTGATCCAGCCAATCAGGAGTAAGTGCGCAATGCGATGGTGTGCAGATGAACATTTTTATGAAAGGGCGCTTCGTGATCAATGAGCGGGTGAGTGGAGAAGTTCGTTCACTGTGTCCACCGGACGTGGAAGCAACTTTAGTGGGGAAACTTAACCGAAGAACCGGAAAATGTCCCACTGGAGCGAGACTCGGCTGCGGTGTCGTTCAAGCTCCACCTCAGTCGAGCTCCACTTTTCGGTTTATGCAACGGCCCGCAGGCTGCAGCGGTCAAGTCATTCCGGGGTCCGAGCACGTATTGCGCCCCCCCCCCCACATGCACTGAGCGCGCCTCCCCACGTGACCAGCGGCCAATCAAATGAATAAAGTCGCCATGGCGTAACTCTCGGCGGCCGGACTAAGAGGGAGCGACAATAAAATATTTTTGGGTGTGAAGTTTACGAGGAGCCGAGATGGCTGCTTAAATACGGGCTGTATTTAGATTTGTAATATAGTTGTTTGATAAAGTGCAGCACTTTTTGACCAGCAAAACTTCAAAAGAATTACAAAGAGAAGGATTTAGGGAGGATTACTAGACGGACAACTGGATGGATAGATAAATATTTGATCGATACAGTTTTAGGATGGATGGATTAATATTTCATAGATAAATGGGTGGACGGATAAACAGATGGGTTGGTCGATTGCTAGATGGACATACAGTATAATAGAGCGATATAGATCGATTGATACGATCGATACTGCATAGATACAAAGATAAACGTGGTACTAAAAGCATGTTGTGGAGGGGCAATGCAAAAACAAAAGTTTCTTTTTTTTTTATTGAGCTCGAAGGATAACGATATCAAATAAGTAAACAAGTACGCAACCAAACAATATATCCTTTGCCTTGCGGGGGGGGGGGGGTGTATTTTTTTTATCTCTCAGAACAGAACTCCTGTACTTAATTTCTATACTGTAGACGTGCGACAGTGTATATTGTATCGAGCAGAGCGAATTAACCCGCGGCTGCCAGCGTATCATGACGTCGAAGCAGTTAGTTTGGTCCTCGTTGCCCAATCGAATGTGCTTTGGTGTCCTACAGGAGCCGAAATGTCCCTGTCCTGGTCCGAGTAACATACCACCCGTTGCCGGGTCTCCGTGGTAGGCCGACTGCTGCTGCTTTAAAAAAAAAAAAGCCGTGACATGGGAAGCCCGTTGCAGCTGCGGAACCATTTCTACCAAGCGCAGCGGTCGGATCCGACTCAGTGCCACCGGCACCCCTGCGGACAGCCGCCGCGCTACACCTGCACCTGCACCGACCGCTGCACCTGCCATGCCCGGGAGAGCTCCGTCCTCCGCGGGACGTCGCCGACATGCGCCGCGGTAACTTTGAGGACATCTTCGGAGACGTTTTCAAGGCGAGGCGTCCGCGACCGGACTCCATGTAGTCATGCTACTTCCTCCAGGCATCCCCCCCTTCCTCCTCCTCCTCCTCTGCCGCCGCCGCCTCCTCCTCGTCAGCAGCAGCATCCGCAGCATCCCGGGGCCAGCCACGCGCACGCCTCCCACCATGAGACGGCCATGAGCAGCTGCAGATACAACGGCGGCGTCCTGCGGCCGCTCAGCCACTTGAGCTCGTCCCGCAGGAACGTGCACGAGTTCGATTCCGAATCGCAGCCCCTGCAGCCCCTCTCGGCCGCGGACGCGTCGGACACCTTGGCAATCTCCAAGCCGGAGAGCCACTCGGCCACGCTCATGCCGTACGCGTCCGGGGACGGAGGCGGGGGCTGCGGCCGCGGCGGGGGGAAATCGGGAAAGAAGAAGAACCAGAACATTGGGGAGAAGCTCGGCCACAGGAGGGCCTTGTTTGAGAAGAGGAAGCGGCTCAGCGACTATGCTTTAATCTTTGGGATGTTTGGGATCGTTGTTATGGTTATCGAGACGGAACTCTCCTGGGGAGCCTATGGAAAGGTGTGTATCTTGAAATTTTGGCAACTTTTTTTTTTTCTTTTCAAAACATAAAAAGTACACACACAAGCATAGAACTATTGTCGGGGTGTGCTCTGCCCCTCAAGCCTCATCAGTGGGCTCCAAGGTTACTCTTACTCACTTTCCAGAGCAGAAGGCTTCACTATTTTGGAAAGTGCTGAGCCATGTTTTCAAGCTAAACGGCATGTGCTTTCTCAATCAGCCGTCATTTTGATTGATCCAGCCGTGTACCCCTAACAGTGTGATGTTTCTCTGTGACCGCCACAGTGTTGTGTCTTTGGTTTTAGTGTTGTCGCTCTCTTCTAGGAGTCCCTGTATTCATTAGCTCTAAAATGCCTGATAAGCCTTTCTACAGTCATTCTCCTGGGCCTGATTATCATCTACCATGCAAGAGAGATCCAGGTAATGAAACACACTTTTTTTAACCCCCCCCCCCCCCACACACACACACACACACATTCTTTTACATGCTGATGTGTCCAAAGGTGAAAGCGGCTCATACAGGATAATCACAATTGCTTTAAGAAGTACTATTTTTAGAAATGGAGCATGGCAACTTTTGTAGCGAAAAGATAACTTTCTATTAATAGGCGTTTGACGCATTCTTTCACTCAACTGCAGATGGGGGAAGGCATCCATTGGTCTTTATTTGGAGAATGTCAATTGTATGTTTCTTCTCGTTTGTGTGAAAGTGGAGCTCACACTAAATTATGGCGGGCAAATCCAAGAGTCAAAGCAGACCGAACCCTGAAAACATAGGTGTCAAACTCAAAGCCCGGGGGCCAGATCTGGCCCGCCATATCATTTTCTGTGGCCCGCGAAAGCAGATCAAACGTCAACTTCCATGATGCTTTCTAAAATGTCTACCAAAAATTAAAATTCTCATGTAATAAATAAGAGAGATATTCGAAGCATTTTCTTGTTACCAAACCCCTCGTGATAGTAACCTAAACAAGAGTTGAACCACCAGTGATTCTTGACTTCTTTATGTGGTTTCAGTCAAAACGGTCCTCCAAGGGAAACGGTAATGTGGCCCGTGACAAAAATGAGTTTGACACCCCTGCCTTAAAAGATGTGTTGCGTCATAATGCACACTTTGATCCGTCTGAGTGCGTTTACGTCAGTCGGTGCTGCTGTTTTGGTTTGCACGTTGGCATGTTCTCAGCAGGTAACTCTCGAACGATTAAACAGTCATGTCCAAGCGCTGACATAATTATATTTAATACTATTGTCTTCCTGATGGGACAATTCAGGCTTCGGTTCAGGCAGGCGTCTCACCTTAACACGGTTCATTGTCATATTTTTGGTGTCGGTCTCGTTTTTTTAGAACCGACAAGCCTCCAGGGAATATCTGTCATCGGAATGTCCCGCCAGTAAAATGTCTCATTGTGAACCTTTCTTTGATGAGCGAGGCTAGAAATGCACATTAGCATATTTCAATGTGGTTCCATCCCCCCCCCCCCCCCCCCCCCCTTCTGTGTTCATTTTTTCCCCCCCCCCCCCCCCCCTTAGCTGTTGATGAATTGGAGAGCTTACGTTGGCATTCAAGTAGCACATTCGTTGTTTGCCTCCTTTCAGCCTTTCCAGATTACACATGTCCATTATTCCATTCATAAATGAGGCCTCACTGAACTTTTCTTTCCGCGGGCGGGGGGGTTATTTGTGATTGACGTCGTGCCGCCATGCATTCTTCATTCTAGCGGGTTTCCATTACTCGCCTCTAACAGGTTGCCTTGACTTTTTGGCGGCGCCTCAGCGCACATTTATTGGCTCCCGTCCCCCGTAAACCCTTTCAGTGCGCGTGCATCTGGAATGTGTTGGGAGAGTCTTCGACGTTGTTATTAGTGCAAGTTTTTGTCGTCGCAGCGGAAGTGTACCGATAAATATTGTCAGCGTGCCCACCTTGACATCCGATTAATCTTAAACTTAATGCAAGATATTCTTCCCATACGTGCAGTTGCTGCTTGTTTATTGCAATTTCAGTTTCACTTCATGAGGCACACCAGCACATCGCCTCAGATCGAAAATACACGCTGTGACAAAGATAATAGTTTTGATTGACACTTTCCGAGGGGCTTTTATTTTGCATTTTGCTCATTGCATGGTCGTAACATTTTGCCGGGCTAAACTGGAATAGCGCTTGTGCAAAACAGTCTTAAATTTGCATCAGTCCCATCTTGTGGGCCGTTCCTATGTCGATGCCCGTTCTCTCTGCATGTGCCTTCATTTTACCATTAAGATTCATGAATGATTTACTTTTTAAGGGGGGGGGGGGAGTGCTCTATCATGCAATGTTAATAGAAGTAAACATTCCAAATGCTGGATCCCGACGTTTATCCACCACGGCAAGATTTTCAGAGTTTGTCCTTTGACCTGCAAATTTTGAGCAACGTGCTTTTGCATAATTCTGCTCCCGGACGGAGATTAAAAACGCGGAATAATTCATCCGCTAATAAAAATACAAAAATACCTCTCGGTCGATTACAGTGCGAAAGCTTCCTTTTATTGAACAGACTACCTCTGTGACTTTGATGGAGTACGCCGTCTCACTTTTTCAATTCAAAATAATTGAATATGCTCCAGTTTTTCTTTCTTTTGACCATAATTTCACACAAAGAAAGAACAAATAGCGCACTGAGCCTTTACATCACAAATGTTGGAAATTGCGATGGGAAATGTGATTTCTTGACAATGTGCATTATTGCTGTCATCCGTATTTAGAGTCAAGGGGTGTCTCCAAGCTGCTTTTTGGTTGCCAGCTGATGAAAACAGTCATTTTCGGCCCCCCTGCAATGAAATCGCACGTCCCTGTGCATTCCCAGATGTCCGTCACACGCCGAGCCATCACAGGTCGCCGCTATGAAACGTTTCACCACTCCCAGCCACCTGAAAACAGATTCACTCGTCAAGCTCGGCAAATATGACCGCCGCTCGTTTATCTACTTTCCAACAACGCCAAATGTTTTTGCTCGCCGAAAAAAAGGTCACGGCCGACAGGGATGGATGCGGCCTACCTGCTGTCACGGGAATTAGTTTGAAAAGCGTCGGCCGTGCTCAGGTGGCTTCCAGAATGTGCGTGCAAAGTGTATCGTCACCAAAAAAAAAAAAGAGGCGGGGTTTCCGCGAATGAGGTCGGTTTCATCATCACCGATCGCTCTCATGCGAAATCCCGCTTTTCTCCGATGCTGACGTTCGGCCCTATTTTTAGTCCTCCTTGAAGTGTTAGCGGATGATCAAGTTGCCTCGATTCCTCTTGTTGACACGTGGCCGTCCGCCAAAGGAATTTTTAGACCTTTTTACTTGAGCTGCGGTTGCTGTGTTGGCAGGCGGCGACTTAGCGTACTGGCGGAGATTGCCTTGCGTCTCTCCCGACTTTGATTTGTCATTGTCAGCGTGCAGGCGTCATTCTGCTTTGAGATGGTCAGCGGGTTCACCTGCCTTTCCTCGAAAGAGGGAAGTGATACGTTCCCGTTTTTTTTTTTTTTTTTAACGCTTACATCAAAGGGCTTTTCTTTTTCTTTGGCCAAGGGCCGTTTGTGTTCGGGCTTACATCGCAATGCTTTGTGGTGGTAGTACTGCTGAGGTTTCTGAAATGCGGACTAACTCTAAATTCTTTGGGGGGGCTCGTGTGCCCTTGATGTGCGTTTTGAAATTTGCATCGTATGATTTCACAAACAAAGCAGCGAGAGAAAGGGCACCTTCGAAAATTGATGATTGGAGTTATATTTATCACATCCATTTGGGGCAATGTCGTTGCAACTGGTCTTGTCATTGTTTTGGAATTTTCATCATTGAATAGATACTTTTACTTTGAAATTCTTTTTTATTTATTTTTAGAGAAAATCAAAGGACTTTTTTGTTTTTTGCGGGGGCAATGTCACAGATTGACACGGTAGGTTGGCAACTTGGGGCTCTTTTGCTCCAGTCAACAGAACATCCGTTAACGCCGCAGTAACTGTTTGAATGAAAAACACTTCTGCACCCGAAATATGAAACAGTTGTGAATCCGGTTGCCTCAAATGGTCCCGTCGTGAATTTTCTTGACTGAACTTGACACTTGAGGCTGGAGTCAGGTGACTCAATAGGCGGCTGACCTCAATGTTTTCTCAGAACATACAAGCTTTTGGGGCAGACATACTTCTTTGCCTCCCGCCCGGAACCCGAAAGATGATTTATTGATGGTGTCCTCTACACCGTGCTCTGCATGGGCAATGTGAACATGCGGGGCATTTCGGTTTACCTCAAGTGTGCATCCTGGCTCCAACGATAAAGGAAGGGAGATTTATTCAGGTGCTTACTTTGCTTGATTAAAAAGACTGCATGCATGAAACTTGATTTCAGAATGGCGGGAAAAATAAAAAACAACAAATTGAAGGTGAACATGCGACAGTTTCAGATTTACACAGCAAAGTGGCCCCTTAGTGGCTCGCTTCGATGTCATAAATAAAGCATCGTATGAATGTCTAATTGGGCCGAACCTCTCAACTTTGTTCGCTAATGAAATTGAGCGATTTCATTGTGGATCGCCAGATATATGTTTCCCACTCGACATTACACAGATTAAATATTGAGCCGGACTCCATTAGTTATATTGAGCGTGGTGAAGGCGGGTAACCAGCTCAGCCTAGCGGAGCTGGTGAGCTCTCCCTCGGGTAACCAAAAACCAAAACACTCACAATAGACTATAATGGCGCTCAGTAGACGCCAGACCTCTACTGAGGTTGCGCTAAATATGAGTGTGAATGGTATTTAGTACAGTTTGTGCCCTGTGATTGTCCGGCAATCAGTCCAAAGGCTAAGCTAGGTCGGTTTCAGCGATGGCTGGCATGCGCGCGACACGAATGGAGGAAAATGTATCCGTTCAAGAGTCGATTATCTCAATATCATGAATCGTGACTTGCGGGGGGTTAGGTGCTTTGCATGTAGCGCTTCTCCTCGGCTCATTGGTTCAACCGTACGGCCACACGCTGACAATTTTGATGTTGGGACAGAAAATAACGTGAAAATGCTGCGGAGAAATAAATGGATTCAAGTTAGGCACGCGAGTGGCAACGTGAGCTAGCCGCCGGTGGCTTCGGTTCTCGCTCGGGCGAGTCAGCGACATTGCTAGTTCATTCGTAGATGTCTTTACTCTATGACCTTTTTGGAAATCCACATCTCAAAATGAGGAATTCCTCCATGTTGGACACATCTTTTGTGATATAAATTAATTCAATCAATAAGTTGAGTAGTTTTTGCCTGCTGCTGTTAGCTAGCTAGCTAGCTCAAATATCAACAGCCTCTTTTATATTTCAACGCTGCCTCTTTTTCGAGCGGTGTTGTGCAGCGCACAGGATTAGCGCGCGTCTCCAGTGAGTGTGTGTGTGTGCTTTTTGTGAACACATGTCCACTCTTTCCTCTGC